GTGTAAATAAAATGGCTCCGTTGTGTTAAAATATATTTTTAAACATTTACAAAACTAAACATCCTACAGTATTTTTACAGTCTTTATTTTGCAGTTAAAATAAATCAATTAAAGTCTAATGTTACAACTAATCGTCTGTCATCTTTGATTATAACAACATTGTTTAGGTTTTATTTTGCCTAAACAATCATTTTATGGCTCAAAGACACTCTGACGCTCATCACCAGTTCTGTTTATTATGACTGAATCTCGGCCCGCAGTACGTGAAGCTGATGAACTTCGAGGAGGAGGTCCGGGCGCACCGGGACCTGGACGGCTTCCTGGCGAGGGCGAGCATCCTGCTGGATGAGACGGCCGCCTCCCTGGACGATGTCCTGAAGAGGATGCTGCACCACGTGGGTCAGGACAGCCACGTCTGTGAGCCCAGCTGCAACTTTGAGGAGGTGATGAGCATGCTGTTCACAGACGCAGGAGCCCAGGAGGTCAACGGTGAGTCTGGACCCCCGTGAGGGCTTTTATCTTCTTGTGTTTTAATGTTTTATTAAATAAGTGCAGATAAACACATCATTTTAGCTACAATAACGCACCAAATTTCAGCTCAATGTGTAGAAATACCTGAACYGAGCTGAATATTTGAATTTATCTTTGGCAGCCTGCTGAGATTGATTTAAATTCAGAATCTTTTGGGCATCGCCATCTTGAATTTTTGATTGATTGGTTTTGATTTGCATTCAGAATTTGTCAGCTRCTATAATACCATTTTTTAGCTTTTTGTTTGAATTTTTTTCTCAATTCAGCATTAGCCTTTAGCTTAAACCAGATTTCAAATGTCTGGGATTGCTCTTGGTTACCACCAAACCACATTTCACCTCAGTCTTTCTAAAAGCTGGCTGAGTTAGAACAATTCAAAATTCTCTTTGGTGGCCATCTTGGATTTTGTGTTTACATTCAGATTTAGTTAAAGATTATTCTCTGCTACCACTACAGCTGTGTATTTAAAGACATTTTTAACATTAGTGGTTAGCTTAAAATGGGATTAGTAATCTTTCTTTGCTACAACACAAAATGCCTTAAAATGGCTGAAYTCTAGCCATTTAAAGTTAGCTGTGATGGSTAGCTTGAATGTTTGATTAGCATGGTAGAGATTGTTTTTGACCTCTACTACATACATTTTCAGCTGTGTATTTATTGGCTGAATTATAGCATTTTGTAAAATTAGCATTAGCGGTTAGCTTAAAATGGTACGAACAACCATTTTTGACTACAACACAACTAATTTCAGCTCATTGTCTTAAAACGGCTGAATCCTCGCCATTTAAAATTAGCTGCGATGGCTAGCTTGAACGTAAGATTAGTATTCAGAATTTCGTAAATATTGTTTTTGAGTACTTTTACACTAAATTTCAGTTGTTTATCTAAAGGTTGAATTATAGCAATTTATAAAATTAGCATTACCAGCTGGCTTGAACTTATGACTAGCATTTAGTATGTTTTTATTTATCCTGAGCTGCTATCACACAAAGTTTCAGCTCAATTTATCCTAAAACATCTGAATTAGAAACGTAAAATTGGCTGTGGCGGCCATCTTGAATTTTTAAATCGTTATAGTTTTATTTATTTGTATGTGCCCCCCCGAAATAAAACCTTGGCCACTCTTTGCAGAAAAGTTTAGCTCCGCCCCTGCCTGTATTCTGGTCGTTCTGGCGTCTGCACCTGTGTCTGTTGGTTGGACGTAACTTGTGGGCGGAGCTCGCCCTGCTCAGGCCTCCATGACCGGCGTGTCGTTGGTCGCTCTCTTTTCAAACGTCTCTGCCGCCGCTCGTGTTTCGTCTCGATGGATTTCAGTCAGAATCAGAGGCTTCAGTGTGAATTCACAGCGAAGCACTTTAGGCGGAGGAACAAAGACTCCTCTCTTCATATTACACTCAGCGTCAGTATCTACGGGACATATCTGTCGAGGTATTAATTTTTGTCCTATCTGCGCTCGTTCTTCCACAGAGGGATATTACAGCTGGCGAGAGGACCGCTTCATTTCAGGCGTGATATACAGCTGTGAGATAAACGAAGAGGGAGATTAGAGCGGGAAACGGAGAGGAAGAGAGAGTTACATAAAGAAAAAAAAAACCAGYGTGATAATTAGTCCGGCTCCAACTCCTGCAGAATGCTTGGTTTTGGAGGCCAATGAGCAGTTTTATTGTTGCAGAGAAATAATGACCGGAGTGCATGAATAATTAGACTTGTGTTTTTATTTAGAAACAATAAACTGAGTTCTCCAACGTCTAATATTTCAAATTAAATGAGGGCAGCAGTGGGTCTGAAGATGCTTCCAGCARGACATCTTCTGCAGGGGGCGGAGCTATAATAACCTTCCAGTAGCCATGGTACTAAGTAAAGAGGGTTGAAAACTGCATCCAGGTCCTGGATCCAAAAGGCTTGAATGTTTTTTGTTCGTAAGGTGGCACGGCTCAGATTTACAGCCCTTTTCCACTAGAGGCTGTAGAGGCTCTAGTGACTAGAACCTCTACAGCACGGCTCGGCTCGGCTCTGCACATTTCCAAGGTGTTTCCACTAGCAAGGATTCATGGAACYGGACTCCTTTATAGCACCTACTTCATCGTAGTTCCAAGTCTGAAAACATGACGTCAGAAATCTGTCAGTCACTGGTTGGTTACTGATTGGTCAGGGGGTGGAGTCACTGGTTGGTTGGTTACTGATTAGTTAGGGGTGGAGTCTCTGGTTAGTTACTGATTGGTGAGGGGGTGGAGTCACTGATTGGTTACTGATTGTTCAGGGGGTGGAGTCATTGGTTCGTTACTGATTGGTCAGGGGGTGGAGTCACTAGATTGTTACTGATTGGTCAGGGGGTGGAGTCACTAGATGGTTACTGATTGGTCAGGGGGTGGAGTGACTGATTGGTCACTGATTGTTAGAGGGTGGAGTCACTGGTTGGTTACTGATTGGTTAGGGGGTGGAGTCACTGGTTGGTTACTGATTGGTTAAGGGGTGGAGTCACTAGATGGTTACTGATTGATCAGGGGGTGGAGTCACTAGATGGATACTTATTGTTCAGGGGGTGGAGTCACTAGATGGTTACTGATTGGTCAGGGGGTGGAGTCACTGGTTGGTCACTGATTGTTAGAGGGTGGAGTCACTGGTTGGTTACTGATTGGTTGGGGGGTGGAGTCACTGGTTGGTCACTGATTGGTTAGGGGGTGGAGTCACTGATTTGTTATCGATTGTTCAGAGGGTGGAGTCACTAGTTGTTTACTGATTGGTTAGGGGGTGGAGTCACTGATTTGTTATCGATTGTTCAGAGGGTGGAGTCACTAGTTGNGTTCAGAGGGTGGAGTCACTAGTTGTTTACTGATTGGTTAGGGGGTGGAGTCACTGATTTGTTATCGATTGTTCAGAGGGTGGAGTCACTAGTTGGTTACTCATTGGATAGCGGGTGGAGTCACTGGTTGTGTCCGATAAACAGTAGCTTAGCTGAGAAGAGTTGAGACAGGAGTCAGACATTCGATTATGATGCCTCCTGGTCACCTCCTTTTGGAGGTTTTCCCACTAGGAAGAGATCGTGGGCCACCCAGAGTTTTGTGGAGGGATTGTAGACCCTCTCTGGTCCGGGAACACCTTCAGGGTCCGCCAGTAGGAGCTGGAGACAGAGGTCCGGATTTCTGTCCTGGACCTGTTTCCTGTAATTTTGGATGAAACAAGTTGTCACTTTTAGGGACCTAAAAGGAATGTCACATTTAAAAATCTAAAATCTCAGGATAAATTTGGTCTAATTTAAATCCACTTGTGTTCCGGACCACTCTGTTTTCTAATCAGCCATCGATGGGTCTTCATCGGTTCTTAATTAGACAAAAAATAATAATAAAATAGAAAAATGAAGGCTGTACATTTTTTTTCTTTTTTTTTCCCCTTGAGTCTCTTTGGGCCGGCCGAACAAATAAGTGTTATCAAAGATAAAATCTAATTTTGTAATAGGCGGTGGACGGTAATAAAGATAAAACATGTCTGCCCAGCACTGATGTGACATTGAGGGATTTTCTTTGGAAAAGGGTCTTTTAATATGCATGAGGGCAGGAAATGAAGCAGATATTTGTGTCTGTTAACCAGAAAGTGTTTAACATGATTTTTTTTGTGTGCTTGTCTACAAAATCAATGATGGAAAAAAGGTGACTGAACCATCTCTCCTGGTTTTTCTCCCTCTCCTCACGCAGACAAGTCTCAAAGTTTCGTTTTCTTTGATGACGGTAAGCGGTGCTAATTGGAGGGAAATGTCAGCGTCGGGCCTGTGAGGCTGTAATCAGTGCTTCACTTTACCAATCACCATTAGTGTGCCATTTGTGTTCCTGTCGAGGCTCAGGACTGGGTTAATCTACTGACTCATCAGATCGTTACAGAGGAACCGTACCTGCCTCAGGGTGACACGTTTACTCATCAACCAGGACCGGATCAGTTGCTTCTTGAAGGCTGTCAGTTTGAAGTTTAGATTTTTTATTACACTGAAAATACAAGTCCAAATGTTTACAAAACTAAAGTAAACAGTTGGGGAAATAATAGTTATTTAGGAATATACGTATGTTTACTTTATTGCAGCCCAGTGTGTACCAGGTACATATCCTGTATTAACTGTAAGTACAATTCTGTATTTTGTAATACTACCATAAGATATTTAAAATTTCTAATGTAATTAAAAATATATATGTTAACAAAATAGTAGAGAAAAATTATTTTATATTATTGACCATCAAGTACCACAAACAAACCAATACTCTCCCAGTAACATATTTGTACCTGGGATTTGTTCTGTAAGCATCTGGTTTTTACCAGGTACATACCTATGTCTTACCTGGTATGTACCCTGTAACATGCATGGTAGCATACGTGTTAATATACTTAATTACGAGCAACATACCTAGCAACATACCTGGTGCACACCCAAAAACAAACTTAATACATACCTGGCAACACACCAGGTACACACCGATTACCATACCTGGCACATACTCGGTAACATACTTGATATATACTCGGTAACATACTGGGTAGATCTTCAGTTACATACCCAGTACACACCCAATACCATGTTTGGAACATACCCGGCAACACACCAGGTACACACCCGTAAACATACCTGATAAATACCCAAAAACATAACCGATACATACCTAGTAATACACCTGGTAAATACCCAGAAACATACCTGGTAAATACCCAGAAACATACCTGGTAAATACCCAGAAACATACCTGGTTAATACCCAGAAACATAACTGGTAAATACCCAGAAACATAACTGGTAAATACCCAGAAACATAACTGGTAAATACCCAGTAACATACCTGGTAAATACCCAGTAACATACCTGGTAAATACCCAGACACTTACCCGATACATACCCAGTAACATACCTGGGAAATACCCAGTACCATACCTGGTAAATACCCAGACACTTACCCAATACATACCCAGTAACATACCTGGTAAATACCCAGTAACATACCTGGTAAATACCCAGACACTTACCCAATACATACCCAGTAACATACCTGGTAAATACCCAGATACGTACTCGATACATACCCAGTAACATACCTGGTAAATACCCAGATACGTACTCGATACATACCCAGTAACATACCTGGTAAATACCCAGTAAGTGAGTAAGTAAATTTTATTTATATAGCATCTTTTACAAACATCACAAAGTGTTTAACAGAGAGCAAAATAACTAAAATCAATAAAAACAGGTCACAAAAACATACCCAGTAACATACTTAGCACATAGTACAACACACCAAGTACACACCAGGTACACACCTGGTACGTACCCAGTAACATTCTTAGTACATTCCCAGCAACACACCAGGTACACATCTGTTAACATATCTGGTAAATATCCAGTAACATACCTGGTCAATACCCAGAAATGTACCTGGTAAATACTCAGTAATGTACCTAGTATTTACTGTGTTAGTACTGGAAACATGCCAGGCTGTAATAGGTATTGATATTTATTTTATATCTTTTTTATTGAAACTAATTAATGTAAATATTCAGATATACTTGTATCTTTTTTCCTCCACTGTTTTTATAAAATATAAAAACATTATTTCTGTTTGACGTCACAAATTAAAGAATCCATTCAGTAACCTTCAAAAAAAACAAAAACGAGTTTTTACAGCCTGTCTGTCCAAACTAAATAAAACACATAATTCAGACCTCAGCTGCAGATGTTTGGTGCAACATGTGAACAAAGATCTGCATCAGGACCCAGACTCAAGGTGTCCCCGTTGATCTGGTCCTGGTTGTCCCTCATCACATCTGGTCTGTGTGGTCTATGGTGGACTCATGTGGTCTATGGTGGACTCATGTGGTCTATGGTGGACTCATGTGGTCTATGGTGGACTCATGTGCCTCTTCTGTATGGAGCTCCCTGAGTTTTAATCACGTCCTTCACTGTGGCCTCCACGCTCTCAGGAAAACCAATCATGTTCCTTTGTGTGCTGATGAGCGTGTGCGTGCACGTGTTCACCATCAGGCCCAACAAAGGTTCAGACGCCGTCGCTCTTTAAAGATTTGGAGCTTTTATTAAAAATACTTCAGAGGATGATGGAAGGGATCTCGCTGCCTGAAAGGCTGCTCGCTTTTTTTTTTCTCCTTCTGTCTTTGATGTTGAACTGGCAGAAAAAAATTACAACACTGAATTATTGGCATGTTTATTATTTTGTTTCTTATTTATTTGTGTTTCTGTCTCGTGTGATTCACAGAGAACAGAAATGTCCCCCTCCAACCAGGCCACGTGGATAACTCGTTTAAAGAATCCACCAAGAATCCAGAAAGATCAAAGAGGGTCTCTACAGCCTTCCTCCCCTTAATTCATCATTTCCCATTGAAGTTTGTCACATTTGATACGCTGCGTGTCACAGAACGCTTTTTTATCTCATCTGTGTGGAAACGGCTCTGTTTGCAGAGCTGATGAAACCACGTGGAAATCTTTATTTAAGTGTCAAATAATCAAATGAACACATCTAAAATAAGCACACTTGATCACTTTTTTGGGCATCCGAGTCGGTTTTGGACATTTTGCCGTTGATATGAGAGAGCGAGCAGGAAATCGGGTCGGCCTTTACGCCGCTCTCTGTAAATATTGAAGGGTGATCTTTGCACGGGGTTGTGAACAAACTGAAGGTGAGTTTACAGCAGATTCAGGGCGGGGGTGGAGGATAATGTCACTGCACTTTCAGACGCTACCTTAGACGGCTCTGATTTTCCAGTCGGAACATTTTGTGAATCCCACAAGGAAAAGAAAGTCAGTTTTATTTATTCTAGGAGTTTATGGAAAAGGATATGAAACAAACCAGGGAAGCATGAAGTGATAGAAACTTTGCTGTTCACGTGCAGCAGGACGTGAGTTTAGCTCCGTTTTTTGGTGTGAAATAAAATGAGCGTTTAGGGGCCGTCTAATTACTGAAACATTCACCTCTGCTGTACATTAACATATCAGTATCAAAGTCATAAGGGCTTTCTCCTGTGTTTTCTGAAAATTTTCAAGTAGGGGTCTTTGCAGAGGTCTGCAAAGCAAAAGTAAAAATACCTTAACAGAAAATCACTGAAATTTCACTGATGAGAAAAGTACACAAATAAATGCCATGAAACTGTTCACAAAAATCAGGAAAGTAAAAGTACATTTACACACTTTTTAAGAAATAAACTGTTGAATTTACTGAACCCTTTAACAGTCTTTGTTCCACCGGTGGGCACAAGTGGTGCAGTTTCTGTCTTTAAACGTTTCCAGATGATACCGGGGGCTTTTATTTTGAAAACTAGTGTGTCAGACAACTTCCTCCAGTTGACACCCTTGCAAAAAATGAAAAATGTTGAAAGAGCTTTTAAGGAATTTCAGGGTCGATTGTTAATCAAAATGGTTCCACTAAACCAGGACTTCTTAACCTTTTTGACCTCAGGGTCCAATTTGCTGAACATAAAGTTACACGAGGCCCAGTYAGACATTACYAATATATGGATCAAAATGATAATTATTATAAATCTTGGTTTAATTTGTGTTGTATTTGCATTATAACTAAATTAAATACACTTTCAGTTTAAAAGTAAAACTTTTGTCAAATAATCACAAGACGTTATTAAAACACTTTTTTTATATTGTAACCTGCCCTTAACAATTATTTGATACAACAGTCAGTCAACGGAGCACTCAGGCTTAGCAACACAAAAATAACATTTTTTAACATAAACAATAACAAAAATAGACAATTCAATAAATAAAATTGTGGTCACAAAATAAATACATTCAAAATGTTCAATGTAAATGTTCAAAATAAATTTGATAAAATGCAAATGAAAGTATAGCCATTTTAAACCTTTGCATGGGAGAACCAGAAGCTGCTCTTCATATTAGTGACAAACAATAACAGTAACAACAGTTTGTTGACAAGTTTAAAGT